CCTCTATGAGATGGATTGATTTAGTGACTGGGGTAATTGGGATGGGTGTGTCAGAGGCTGTGCGGTTGGCGCAGGATAAAGCAGGGTTTAGGGCTGTTGTGCATAGGGTCACTATGAGTCGCAAATGATTCGATGGCACATAACAACAACAACAAGGAAATTTTCCTTCTCTTAAAGAAATTTTGTGCCTTTTGGAGTTAATTATACCTGGTCAGTCTTTTTGATGACTAACAATGAGTAAATTGCTTATCTCACCAAATTTACATGTTTCAAAAGTCTCTCTTTTTAATCTAGTCTACTAGGTGTTTTCAATTATTTAGTGAGGTCCCTAACGGCTGACTTTCCCAGTGTAATATGTCTCATATTACATACCTGTCTGCTGGTACTGACCCAAGCTTGTTGACAGTTTCAATCTTTCTACATCTATCCTGATGTTATCTTTAGGTCCAGTGATAAGATGCAATCCATATTGAAGGCTGTATTCTTTGATCTTTTGCATCATATGCTTCAAGTTCTCACTTTCAGCAAACAAGAATGAACCATCTGCATGTTGCAGGCTACTAATAATTCTCCCTCTGACTCTGATGCCATATATCTCTTCATAGAGTTGAGCTTCTCTAATACTTTGCTCAGCAAACAGACTGAATGGATGTGGAGACAGAATACAACCCCGACACACTCACATGTTAATTTTAAACCATATAGTATTCCCTTGCTCTGTTGTCACACCAATCTCCTAGTCTAGTTATAGGTATTGCATATACACAATTAAGTACTCTGGAATCATTCACAATGTCAGTCATAACTAGTTATGATCCACATAGTTAAATGCCTTTGCATAGTAAATAAAGCATAAGTAGACATTCTTCTGATATTCTTTATTTTCAGCTAAGATCTGTCTGACATCAGCAATGATATCCCTGATGCCAGGGCCTCTTCTAAATCTTGCTTAACTTTTGGTAGTTCCCTATTTATGTACTATTCTAGCTGGTTTTAAATGATCTTCCACAGTATTTAGATTGCAAGCAACATTAATGATATTATCCAATAGTTTCCACAATCTGTTGGATCATCTTTCCTGGAAATTGGAACAAATGAGGCCCTCTTCCAATCATTCGGCCAGATAGTTTCCCTCCAAATTTCCTGGCATAGATTGGTGAGCACATCCAGGGATCTGTCTAGTCACTGAAGCAAGTTAATTGGCATCCCATTGATTCCTGGGCATTATTTTTCCCAATGCCTTCAATACAGCTTCCACTTTCTCCTTCATTACCTCTGGCTCCTGCTTATATGGTACTTCCTGAAATTTTTCATTGTCAGTCAGTTCTTTTTGACACAGTGATTCTGTGTATTTCCTCGATGCTTTCTGGGTCATTCAAGATATTGTCTATAGCATCTTTCAATATTGTCACTTGAGGCTTAAATTTGTTTTTCAATTCTCTTAACTTAAAAAATGCAGAGTGATTTCTTCCCTTTTTATTCTCCAATTTC